AACAGTAACAATGACATCAACAACTTCGCACAAGAGCGCATCATGGGCATTCAATGCTGTTGGGGACCTTCCAAGTACCGTTAAAGAGTTCCCTTTTCTGCAGCAATACTATCGAATACGAGAGACGCCTACCGAGCAATTTCGAACAAAGTCGCGAGTACATGAAAGCAGTAAATATTCTATGTCAGAAAGCCAATTTTCAGGACGCACCCGAACTGATATAATGTCCCAACCTTATGTAATATTATACAGGCGAATAAGACTTATACAGGTGTACTACAACAGGCATATCTTTAAGTCCTCTAACAGTAATGAGAGCCAGTTCAAAAACGAAGTTATTCTCTGGGATAGACGGCAATGGTGGCAGGAGACCACGGTTGTCTTCGACTATGCCCAGACCTATGTACATCAGAAGAGCCTCATCATTACACTACGTGTGAAAGGCCTTAAACAAGAGCTTATCACTGGAACGGAAACATAGGGTCTCGTCCACTACAGACGACACCTTGCACCCAAACCTAGTGCTTGTCGAAGGTCTGCTCATCACTTATCGATCAGTATCCTATGATCCTTCCAGCTCTCGGGAATCGAAGTTCTCAGCAGACAAGGATTTGCTCATGTATGGACCATCCAGTTCGTATCCTAGCTTCCTGAAATGGAGCTGCAAAAAATACCAACAGCCAAGATTGGAGGAAACGTGGCCGGAGCTGAACTAAATTCCAAAGTTTTGAGAGATAACATTCAAGATTCCTCACCTGTAATAGTCTCTGGTACCAACACCTGAGATAACCACAATTTTGTCGGATCCGTGCTCAAAATAAGCGATACGGGCAGCTTCCTCCATAAGAAGTTGACCGAAACCCTCAAAAGAAAGAATATATGCTTTTTTCTTTCGAACAATTCTATTTCTTGTTTATTTTATTCCTTTCAAGCTCGCGACCTTCTGAATCGAATTCAACAGACTCTTTCGAATCGAGTTCAACACACTCTTCACACCGGACATTTTGACCACATCACGCTAGGTTTTGCTGGAAGCCGCGGTCCGGTGACCACACCATTTCAGCGCGGTCATGCTTTTTTCATCATTTTAGAGCTTCTGATAATGTAATTTTCTGCACCTACGGTATCTTACAGGAGCAAGCTCATTGAAAGGCATCGATCTACCAACACATAGAAACTCAACTTGCGTTTGTCTTCCCTTCTCTAGACTGCTTCAAAAGCCATCAACTCCACCGAGTGTGAGAGATGCCACCCACCTGCATAGGCTAAGCCCATTTTCGTAAAATGGCTCAATACAGCAGGCAAGTCTTTAGCAGGTCAGAGTCGCTCGTCGCTTGCCGGACAAATATGATTCGGTCCGAGCGAACAACATGAACGGCAGTGGCTATCGCGGCCAGGTGTAGAGAATGAGAGAACAACAGTTATTGTATTAGGCGCAGTTGCGCGAAGGGGCATTTTGCACTTTCGTTGCTTCACTAGTTCTGGTTTACAAGTCTCACTCTGGTGAAACCTGTGAACTCTTGTGAAGCTGGAGCAAGCTCGTCAAGCCATCATGGTAAAACCTGTCAACTAGAGAAAGGCTGTCTAGATGGGTCGACACGTCGATGGGAAGTAGCAAAAGTGCAAAATGCCCCTCTCCCTCACGTCACTGAGGTGCTCCTACTTAACAGTTTGTTAACGTAAAGAAGCCGAAAAGTAAACAAGAAGAGAATTATGTAATATCAAAGGATTCCTGAGCTTCATTATATTGTAAGTCTTCTTCTGGGTTGATGGAATGAAACTCTTCTAAGTCTTTTATTTCTCGGCGACGTTTCGGGCCTTAAGCCCTTCTTCAGGTCTACAAATATCACATATGTACAAAGCCTACACCAACAATCCTACTATTATACGCAAGATATTCGAAGAGGGAAAGCAATCAATTAATTAACAACTGACCGACTTCCTACAGGGGTAGGGCCTGGGTTGGAGTGGGTCCGGGATGGAGTGGGTCGGGAGTTTGCTGCAAGATGGTTGAATGATGGGCGAGAACAAGGAGTACGCGACATTGACTCTACCTCCCCAGCTGTCCTTTCCTATAGAAATGAGACAGCTAGAAAGGCGAAGCAGTGGCAAGATGGTGATACACTGCTATTTGTCATATGTCACGTATCACCAGTGATGTCACATCACGGTGCAGCAATGAGCTCCATTGTCCTTCTTAACTCCTCCCTGTTGTTGATCGGTGGGTTCCTTCTTCGAATTTCCAACGCCTCCTTTATTTTCCTCTCCACCGGGTCACATATGTTCCTGTGGATTACGCGCACCCTGAGTTCAGGGGCACGTTCGTTCGTGTGGCGCGAGGAACGGTGTCTCGAGAAGGGATTATCCGGATAGCTGGCTGGGTTCCGGAAAGCCCTTAGATGTTCATCAAGCCTCTTGTAGAGTGGTCGTCCAGTTTCGCCAATGTAGAATTCCGAACATGACGCACACTCCACTTCGTACACGGTATTCATTAAGAGGCAGATCTTTCGTTCCTCCTGGCAGTATTCACAGTTTTCGCGGCCACATCGGTCTTCGTATATTCGTGACGACGTGAGGAGACGACGTAGTGTTGGCGGTGGTCGAAATATCAGGCGGATTGGCATCCCCGACCTCTTTATAACACGATTTACATCCTTTGCAAAAGAGTCTGAGAGGTAAGGAATTATGAGTGGGACGCCTCCTGGTGCCTGATATGGGCGCCAGCAATTTACGCGTCTGCTTCCATAGCCGTTTTCTTGAAGTACACGCGTCACTGTATCCATCACTACAGGAACATTTGTGGACGTCAACCTTCGAGCTGTTGTCAAGGCATTCTGAACGATATTCCTCTTCATGAAAAGAGGGTGGCAGCTTCTCGAGTGGATCAGGATGTTCTTCGAAGCAGGCTTCTTATGCCACATGGAAAATACATTTCCTTCCGACAGTTTCACTTTAGTGTTCAAGAAGGGCAGGAAACCGTCGTGTTCAGGTTCCTCGACAGAAGCTGCCACCCTCTTTTCATGAAGAGGAATATCGTTCAGAATGCCTTGACAACAGCTCGAAGGTTGACGTCCACAAATGTTCCTGTAGTGATGGAACAGTGACGCGTGTACTTCAAGAAAACGGCTATGGAAGCAGACGCGTAAATTGCTGGCGCCCATATCAGGCACCAGGAGGCGTCCCACTCATAATTCCTTACCTCTCAGACTCTTTTGCAAAGGATGTAAATCGTGTTATAAAGAGGTCGGGGATGCCAATCCGCCTGATATTTCGACCACCGCCAACACTACGTCGTCTCCTCACGTCGTCACGAATATACGAAGACCGATGTGGCCGCGAAAACTGTGAATACTGCCAGGAGGAACGAAAGATCTGCCTCTTAATGAATACCGTGTACGAAGTGGAGTGTGCGTCATGTTCGGAATTCTACATTGGCGAAACTGGACGACCACTCTACAAGAGGCTTGATGAACATCTAAGGGCTTTCCGGAACCCAGCCAGCTATCCGGATAATCCCTTCTCGAGACACCGTTCCTCGCGCCACACGAACGAACGTGCCCCTGAACTCAGGGTGCGCGTAATCCACAGGAACATATGTGACCCGGTGGAGAGGAAAATAAAGGAAGGCGTTGGAAATTCGAAGAAGGAACCCACCGATCAACAACAGGGAGGAGTTAAAGGCAGCGTCCGCGTTCAGTTGAGATTTTCCTCTCCCTTCGTGAGCAGGTAGTCAGGTCCGCTGAGGCAACAACTACACCACTTTCGCGGCGCAAAAACGCGTGAGGAGAGCCACGATGCCGTCGTTCTTATCATTGACCCAACCTACAATCATTGGCACCGCCCACCATTCATTTCTAATGGTTGCCTGATGGTGCGGTTGTTCCATTGCTGCTTCTCTCCACGTCGAGTGGTGAGAGTGAGGTGATAAGGGAAAACAGCTGATATCAACAAGTGAGAACTCGTGCGACCGCACCTTCTCTTCGCCTTGAGCACGTACAACCTCATTAAGCAAGGGGTTCTATATAGAGCCTTTCCTATGATTTCTTTCTGATTTTTCTTCACTAAGGGGTTACTTGCTACCTTGTTATAAGTATTTGAGCCGCATAACTCATCAAATTTGAATGCGGGCTCAGCCTTTAAGAAGGACAATGGAGCTCATTGCTGCACCGTGATGTGACATCACTGGTGATACGTGACATATGACAAATAGCAGTGTATCACCATCTTGCCACTGCTTCGCCTTTCTAGCTGTCTCATTTCTATAGGAAAGGACAGCTGGGGAGGTGAGTCAATGTCGCGTACTCCTTGTTCTCGTCCATCATTCAACCATCTTGCAGCAAACTCCCGACCACTCCATCCCGGACCCACTCCAACCCAGGCCGTACCCCTGTAGGAAGTCGGTCAGTTGTTAATTAATTGATTGCTTTCCCTCTTCGAATATCTTGCGATGTATGCATAATAGTAGGATTGTTAGACCTGAAGAAGGGCTTAAAGCCGAAACGTCTTCGAGAAATAAAAGACTTAGAAGTGTTTCATTCCATCAACCCAGGAAAAGAGAATTAGTTGAACATGTTTTCTATGCAGCAAAGCAAGTAGAAATTGCTAACATTTCTCTCGGAGCATTTCTCTCAAAAGTGCGGGTCCTGGACGAAACGAATGCTCAGACGTCACACAACCAAGTCGCCATCACATACACGCCTTACAGGAGTTTAATTTTCAACGAAACTAATGTTTTTCAAACCGGGAATAGCTTGCTTCGCAAAGTATCGAAGGACGAACCGGTGTTGGAATTTGCATGGATCCCGATCAGAAACAGACACCACCGAACCGTAGACATGGAGCTCACGCACAACAGATGTTTTCCCCTGAAAGGCACCAACATGTTAAAAATGATAAAAACTCACGAGTTCCAAAAGCCAAGCAATAAACCTTCATGGCGAAGTAAAAAGGGTAAGACTATTGCTGAAGAAGGAAACCAAGAGAATACGAGTTCTCTGGTATCTGTATCTATGCACCCTTATGAGTGCATGGAATTGTTCGAGTTGATTATATAACGGTTGGGAATGATTCACCTTAAGTTCGGGACGGTGCGCCCTATTGGATACCTTTCTCAATCGCAACAGTCCTATGAGAATATCCTTGAAAAAGAATCAATGATAATATTAAAATAATCACGACAACATGCAAAAAATGCCCCATGTGAGCTATACATTACCTGATCTGGATCCTCGTAAGAAAGGAAGGTCTCCCATCCGCCGTTCGCAACGTAATCCCTTCGTACTAACTCCACATCGTACGGCCGAATTTTGTTATGAATTTCCTGCAAAAAAAAAACGATAAAAGATACAGTCGACTAGACATCTACGTAATCGTAGTAGGTAACTCGAAAACTACTTGATGATTACATTCAACCCTTTTTTCAGGATATTCTGATCTACTCACAGAAGACAGCTGATGCCGTCATTCAAAGAAAAATTTTTGTTTGTAAATTTAAATTCATGTATATGCGGAGTTGATTTTCATTCTAAAAAATGAAAGCAGGGAATACTGCAGGCACCAAAGACAGCGATTCCAACGGGACCTCATTCATTCGTTTGCGTTGTAAAGTTGACCACTACTATCTTCGACCTACTCAAGGGAAAAAATTATTCTGCAAGTCACTTATTCGAAGAAGGCAGTCCGAAAAAAAACGCAAAAGATAACTGGTTACTTTGCGCTAGTTAGTTGGGGTTGTTTACAGATCGATAACTTATTTAAAACTGTCTGTGATTCCTTAAGCACGACTAAACCGTCTGTTCAAGGTCCCTCTATCCGCTCCGACGCATGCGCATGGAGGGTGGACGCGCCACAGCTGCTTCGTTGAGTGGGTTGGATCCTAGTGCGAACACTGGTTACGTCGCGCTGCCTACAAGGACTATTTCGTTGCAGTGGCCGCGTCTGGGAAGTAACGTTCACCCCTTACCAAATGAATAGTTCATGAATTCATAATCAATGATATATTGTCATGATGGGTAAACTACTATCACAACAATTTGTAAAAGCAGTAAGTTTTTGGGTATGGAACCCTCAACAAAACTTGCAATCTTGGTACACTAACCAATTGTGAAAGTCGTAAAGAACGACAGTGAACTTGTTTGAGCAAATTCTCGAAAATATTACTGAAATACCCACCTGAATACCAACTTCTCTAGTCCTTACGTCGCGACATGCTAAACCGAGCTGCTTCATACGTGCCAAGGCGTGTTCACGGAGATTACCGTGTTCAACACCACTTGAGACCTGGAAGAACAAACAGAAGTAAAAATGGTAAGCGGAGAAATGGTACCCAAGTATAAAAAACCGTTCATTTAACTATTGCAACCACCGAATCCATTTTTTGTTAAAACTTCGTCTTAATGTGTTATTCGTTTCGTTCACCAATGTCACATAGCGTCGGTGACACCTGACGATGTGTTTTTTTTTCACGAAAGTGGTTGCCAATCCAACTGCACAGGATGTTTAGAAGCCTGATCATGACTACGATATCTTTGATGCCGGAGCGACCTTTTTATCAAATTCGTTATAAAATGACATTGAGTGTTAATTGCTGATTATGCGTAAATTAGATCGAGAATACGACATCAATTTTTGAACGCCGTCGTTCGATTTCATGTCCGATTATGGCTTTTGATAATTGCTGAATGGTGGTCGTTAACGGATTAGGTGAGAGAGCTATGGCGCCAAACGGGTGTCTAATGGTGCCAAATGACACTGTCGTCAGAAATGGGTTAAGTATGTCCAAAACTCCTACCAAAGGCATGGGTATATCACGTTGTACACGATAAACACGAGTCCATGGAGGCACTAACGCCAGTATGCGCGCCACGAGATCTACCAGCACAGAGGGCGGGTAACTCTGGAATAATATTTCATGAAGAATTATTCAACTCAGTCTCTGCACAAGAGCAACATTAACGGAACGCACAAACGCTTTTAAAAAGTAGACGGCAATATCAAAAAGCTTTTGTAAAAAAACCCTAACTGACTTTGCAGAAACGAACAAGTCTTTGCCAGTTATAAGTGTAAATTCGTGAACACTCACTTTGTACCTGCCCGATCGCCACAATTCGTACAATCCTGTGCCTCTTATAACGAGAGTTGGGTACAACTTCAAACCATCGGGACGGAACTGTGGGTTCTAAAAAGCTCGAATTGAACGGAACTGATTCTAGGACTGTTACATAGGCACATTTAGCACACCAGTGAGCTCACGATTTGCCAAAAATTTTTAAAAACGAAATTTTTCATTCATTGCCACGAGTTCTGATGATTTATCCGCCAAAAGACTCAAAAGTATCTACCCTCTAAAAGTCTGGACTTTTTGTTCGATGAGGTAGAACCTCCCGCTCATGAAACGCGTCATTTGCTGTCAAGGGTAGGTAGGTGAGTGGCTGATCTACTACGTTTTCTTGTATGGTCCTAGTTCTGGCATCCTTGCGCAGCACCAGTTTATCATATTCGAAATCCTCTACCCTCTTGAGTGCAACATCCTTGCGATTCATCCCGACTAGATAAACTAGGGCCTTTTGCTCTATAACAGTTACTCAGGTATGTAATTGAGGCAGGGCACGTCGCAGGCTGAGAAATTCACAGCAGTGGATCGTGGTCGCTTGAAGGTGGGGATCGTATCCGGGCCGTAGAGATTTTTTCAATGGTTCATTTGATCATTTTTCATAGAAGGAGTCGTACATCCTTCAAGAGAAACTTGAGCGAGCGCGCGCGAAAATCCGTCACCCGCTCCCCCTCGACAGCGGCAAAAGATTGGGGGAAAAACGGAAAAATTCAGGAAAATTTGGAAAGATGGGAAAAATGTGGAAGCTGAAAAAAACATACAGGCGAGATGAGGAAGGGGGGGGGTCGTAGTAGTGGAGGAAATTTGAGAGAGAAGGTTAACTTTGCGAGTATTTTCCCCAGCAGTACGTGCCCTGAATCTAGGTGCTCATCGCTGTAGGTGAAGATTATGGTCCATCACAACCATCGTTATTGAAAGCTCTTCGTCAATCCAACGGAAGCTCGAGTGGAGAATTCCTCAGAGCGCGTTCAGACTTCGCGGTCGCGAGATCCAGTTCGAACTGGAGCGCGCGATCGCGAAGTCTGAACGCGCCCTCAGTTTGCAGCGTGAAAATAATACAGAAGGGCGTGTGCGAACTTCTACGTTGATGTTTTTTATGACGTTTTTTGACGTTGTTTCTGACGTTTTTTAGAAATGCTGGACAGAAATAGAAAGTGAATCATAAAAATGAATAGACGTGTTGGGCACGATGACCAGTAAAAAACTTCCTCAAAATATAACGTTTCAAGGTGTCAAGACCGTAAAAGAAGCCATTCGAAAAGGGCACCAACAATATGTGCGCCAGTATCTAATAAAATCCTCACGAACGGTGAGTCATTGAACATGTTGCTTTCCTTCTTGCCTATGGGTATTCTATAGGTATAACCAAAAAATGAAAAGAGAAAGTGATTGAAGGTGCTAGAAAAAAAATAATAAAAATAGACCTCGAATAACTCCACAAACTGTTCAATATCACGTTCCAGTCCGACATTAGGCAAATCGGGCATCATGTGGATAACAACTTTATATCCGGTATCCTTAGACATGTGGAACGTTTCACAGACGGCTTTAACCTGAATAGCGGAGTAATCATGCATCAGAAGGCGTTTCAATCACGTTGGAAGTTGAGACTCAAAGCAAGTAACAGAAATGAAAGACGGAGAAGTGAGAAATAAATCACTTGGCTTTTAAGGTAATTATGTCATAAGATTTCAATTCTTTCCTTCCTGCGCGGTCCTAGATTTAGATGGCAGTTCATGCTGAATGTGTCTCAAAAACACGTCAAAATAACTTTTTTTTCCTCAAATTCGCATCTGGATTTTCAGACTGTTAACAAACATTCAGACAAAATAGAGCGGCATCATAATAATGGTTGTTGCAGTAGTACTTGAAAAAAAAGAAAATAGGTCACCTTCCCCCTCCCCTCCTCCCACCGCAACCCACTTACTGTTGTCTTATGGTTTCCCAATGTTTCACAGGTTATATCCGCTCACAGACCCATACGAATCCAAGAAACAAAAATCTGAAGAACGCATAGCATAGTTATGAAGTGGGGTTGATCCACAAACTACCTCTAGCTGCCCTCAACTCCGATAAGGTTGAGTTCATTTGTGCCATAGTACGGTAGCTTCCGAGCGTACGCCAGTGACAGGAAAATATGAAAATCAATCGAGCGAACAGCAGCGTTCTCGCGGGCGATTCTCGCAGCAACTTGAGCAAAAGTGCTCGCGAAAACGCTGCTATACGCTGAATAGGTACCTTTCTAGTTGCAGGCGATAGCGTACGCACAGAAAGCTGCCGTACGCTGACGCAACCTATTGAAGTTCTCAGTTATTTTCTGACTATTCAGAATTACACATGAAAAATGGACTTTACATTCATGATATCCTACAACATGTCGGGGAATCGTTTTGAAAAAGCGATCTATGACTCGAACACGGTTTTTCTGATGGTAAAGGTAACTCTACTAAATGAAACTAATAACAATAAATTCACCGTATGTCCTCGATTAGTGTCTCTAGCTACATCTTCGTAAGTAGACTGGACTCCAATCTCAAGCCGAGTACATCCATAAAGGAGCATGTCATTAAGATGTCTCGGGAGGCAATAGTCAGGACGAGTTTCAATCGTGATGCCGATGCATTTGATTTTGCTTCGCTCCGAATACGCAACTGCCTGCAATAAACATTCATTCTCTTCGCTAACTTCAAATAAAAACAACTTTCATTCCGAGAAAAGTCATTAATTTTTCCCATATGATGGAAGAGATTGTATCGGACATGCGCAATTTAGTACGAAAATGCTTCTGTGACACGCTTCACAGCCCACACAAAAGCAGCTCGGAGCTGGCCAAATCGTTTGCGAGAGCGAACTTCAACCAATTTTTCACTTTTCAATGACATTCGCCAAAATAATCCAGGTGATAGAGCAATGACACAAATTTCACCCCAGATCAATTCAAAAGCTTTCAAAGTATTTGAAACGTACACCGATCCCAAGCAAACTGAATGCATGAAGCACAGCTGAACTGCCGTAACAAAAGAATTCAAATGGGGCCGCGTTCATGCGCTGCTCCGTTTTTCTTATATCTTTCTGTGCACGCGTGCCTTTGCGTTTTTTTACGTACCGGGAAGTATGTTACTTCTCAAAGTGTTGTTTCCCCTATATCTTTTTCCCAGTCGTATTCTTTTAGAATCTTAACTGCGGTTCACCCACTGGCGGTGAACACCTCCTGTTGCGATCGCTCGACTGGATCAAGAGACCCGATCGCGCGATTTTGAAGTTTGAACGCGCTCTAAGGCTGCGTTCATACTCGCGTCAGCGTTTTGAGCGTGCGGCAGCGTTCTGAGCAACTAGGAAAGTATGGATATCGATTCAATGTCTGAGCTGTTTTCCGGTATTTTTGAACTTTTCGCGGGCAGTCGCTGCAAACGCCGCGTACGTTCAAAACGCCAACTTCAAAGCTATACTTCCCTCGCCTCAGAAAACGTAGCCATGCTTGCATTAGATCATCACACGAGATCGATACCGTCCTAGTCGTTCGAAACGCTACCATACCCTCAAATCAAAGCGCTGACGCACAGTATGAAGGCACTCTAAGTTATACGTGATATCCACCCAAAATTCTGATGTTAAGGAGCGGTTTCCAATATGCATCGTGGCAGAAAATCCCGAACAAATATGATTGTCACAAATTTCATATTTCGTGTTCAAAACATTTTTTCCGATTTCTCTTGAGTACAGAAAACGAGCTAATGAGTCAGCCAATACATTCTTTACCAACGGCAAAGCAACCATTAGGGACAAGAAAAATAGTATTTTTCTAGGGTCTTCCACTTTACCACAAACAGACAAGTATGCCCATAGCAACCAGCGAACTGGTTAGATGAGCTGAAATAGAACAGAACTGTTACCTTAAGGGTACCACTTATCCACTTACATAATGCAGGGTCTGGCTTCCTTAATGAAATGTACACACAGCTCACCTCTTTCACATTACAAGAAATGTGACCACTGAGGGCATCATGCAAATTTCTGATGAAATAATCGCGATAATCCTCTGGCAACGACATGAAGGTTCCACCCATTACAATGAATTCGACCTGTAACAATCCCTCAGTTCACCTTGTTTCACTTTCTTTGCTGAAGAAAAATAGGAAATTTCTCGAGGATTGGAACTACAGTGAAATAAAGCTACTACTCCACCCACAGAACACTCGAATTTGAAATAGTGACAAACTTGCTCACCTTATCAATTGAGTGGCCAAGCTGCATTAGCTGAGAGACCCTTCCTCTTGTCTGAAGGTAGGGATCATATCTGAAAGGGAAAAGTCCAAAGTAATAAGCTAAAGAGTATCCCATGTAATGATTGATGAATAATACGAAATACTACCTTGCTCTTATAGCACGCATACTTGTTGGTTCGTAACCAGTGTAGCTCTGCGTGGAGTACTCGAAATCAGAGTCTGGGCCTCCAGGACAATATACACAGACATTTCCCGTGAAATTGATGTGTGGACAACGATGAGGTTTCGACATCACTGCCACTACAGCGATACCAGAAGCTGTTCGGATAGGCTTAGCTTTCAACTTTGGCAACAACACATCCTGAAACATACTACATTTTTCTGATAACTCATTTTATTGTGCGCACAAAATCATAGAAAAACTTGTCACTCGGAGCCTGAGATCCAGTGCGCTTCCTAAAGTAACTAGATCACCAACCCCGAAAGGGTATGATGCCACTTCGTGAAGGTGCAAAGTCATATAGTCGAGGGAGGACCACTGACCAGAGAAGTCCACCGACTTACCATAGAACATTGAATGGAGACCTGGGTAGATCGATAGAGTCTATAAGGTTATTTACAAATATAGATAGCAAAACTGCAACCTGCATTTCACAAGCAACTTATGAGCAGGTAAAGTTTGTAATGGTGCAGTAGGGTGGAGGCTTGGTGGTGAGCTGTGAAGCATAAGCGAGGAATCGCATACGTCGAATCGAGTCGTCGAACGTCGAACCTTACCACTGAACCACCACGACTCGATTCGACGTATGCGATTCCTCGCTTATGCTTCACAGCTCACCACCAAGCCTCCACCCTACTGCACCATTACAAACTTTACCTGCTCATAAGTTGCTTGTGAAATGCAGGTTGCAGTTTTGCTATCTATATTTGTAAATAACCTTATAGACTCTATCGATCTACCCAGGTCTCCATTCAAAGTTCCATGGTAAGTTGGCGGACTTCCCTGGTAAGTTCGTGTTCTGATAAACAGTTCTTACCAGCTCTCATTAGCAAGTTCTCATGCAGACCGTCTGACTCCTTCGCGACAGATCGTGAGTTCTCGGACAATTCAAGAACTTCTCATGAAAATACGTAGAGTGAGTTCTACATCAAATCCCTCAACATTGATGGAGATAACACAAGAGCTCTTCAGCGATGCACTACACCACCGAGAGCAGAAGCTAGTTAGTGTGGGCTGTCTTTCGAGGCTCGTCCTTTCGTTCGCATACTCCGGAAGCACGGTTCCATGTCCGATGCGAGTGATTAATGAACACTACGCTTAGACATCACTGTGAATTGAATTCTCTGAAATTCTTGGAACCACTCACGCACAGAAGAACCTTGCCGAATCAAGGTTTCTTCG